ACGCACGACGCCCCAACGGCGTCTGGTGGCCGGCGGTATACCTTCCGGTTGCCGTACGGCGAACACATCCGCCACGCACGCACAAACTCCCGCAAAACTGAGAACGACAGTCGCAAACAAACAAAGACACCACAACCGAACCGAACCGAACCGACTCTGGTGTGGTGTGGTGTGGTGTGGTCTGGTGTGCGGCATGGCATTGCCTGGCTTGAGTTGGGCTAGGGGGTTGGGTGGCTGGGTGGCTGGGTGGCTGGGTGGTTGGGGTTTGGCTCGTGTGGCCCCAGCAATCAATCCAAATGATATACACATTTCAGACTTGGTTCAGTTCTCAGCTCAGCTCGGCTCGGCTCAGCTCCGTTTAGTTTGCCTTTTGCCTGACTGGTCGTCTGTTTGCTCAGGGGGCCCGACCGGCAAGATTTGATGTATTTGACAGATAGACTACGCAGTCAGCCCCTGCATGGGCCTGTCCTCTGATTTTTTTATGGCCAGTTGGAGCTATGTGGCAGTGTGGCGGTGTGGCAGTGTGCCCCGTGAACAATATGTCTCAGTCCCGGCCAGAGGCGGTGTGAGGAATGGCTCTGTGGTCAGCGGGCAGCTGACTTCGCACTGGATTATTGATATTTAAATGGCAGTCGAGCAAATTGCCTGCCATCGCTCGAATGTTTGCCTAGCCCCAAAAATATGCTGCGCATATGTGTAAATTGTGCTCATAAATTATGCTAATGCTGGCTGTGTTCAGTGCTTATATGTAAATTTGGAATTTGGCATTTGGCTGTATTAAAAATGCATTAACCTCCTTCCGCCGAACGGGCGTAACAGCCAAGGCAGGACAGCCTAGTGGCACATGACATAGGTTTAATTCAATTAGATGTGGAGCAGCTGTCCCTCGCATCGGGGATCTGATCTCCCCAATCCACTTGACACAAAGTCATCATCCGCCCAGGCTCGCATCTAATTAAAATAATGATGACCCCCACCCACGACTGGTTCCTCCGGTTGTTTTCTGACGGAAATATTTGAGGGGCGTGGCAATTGCGCTGCCGGAAACTCTGGCTCCGGCCAAGGCAGTTTGGCTCTGTCGGCAGCTGAGCGTAACGAAATGCGCATAAAACAGTGAAATTTACAACCAGAAAGAGTAGCCGAGTCCTTCTTAATGTGCCATGGCGAACCGCAGCAGGACGATGCCGGGACACTGAAGGCCACAGACCAGATACCAGATACCAATGCCAGTGGCAGTAGCAGTAGCCAGAACCACTGACAGTGCCAGAGCCAACTCTCAGTTCTCTTCATTTCAGTGTCTTTTGGGCGGCTTTTGGCCTCATTTTGAGCGTTTATTCATTGTGCCTTTTAAGAGCTTCCGTTTCGTCACGCATAACGCTTTCGAACGACAATGACACGAACATCAAAATCATCAACATTATCTGCACAGCCACACGGAACACGCTCCGGTCCTGGTCGTGCTGGTCCCGGTCCCGGTCCCGTGTCCTTTTTGGAACGTCCACAAACTACAACTTCAAAATGGCGCAAGTGAATGAGGCTCTTCTCTCTATCCTTCCCACTCACCCTCACTCACTGTCTCTGTCCCTCTCGCAGAGCCAATGAGTGAGGTGTTCCTGTCCGGCTCCTTGTCCGACTTTGTTTGACAACATCTAGGCAAAATGGCGTCGTGCTGGCCTGCACGACATGTCGTATGCGTAACATTTACGAGCGTGCCTTTATCGCAATTGACATCATCGCCATGGAGTCACTTGTAAATATTTGTGCATATTTTAATGTAATGCTAAGCACAACTATAAGCACATAAAATTTCATTGCACTCGCCCCCAGACAAGCAAATAAAGACGGACAGGATACTCATATGTGTACATGTATATGTGTACAGAGCTCGTATGGAATAAGCATACAATTTATATAATTACCCGCATAGCCCCCGCCGCGTTTAACTGATTGCTTTATTATTTTTTTCAAGTGTCATGTTTGCTGTTTTAATTCCGGCAATAATACAGCAGCCACCGCATAAATATTTACGAGTAACAACCAGGCACAAAGCCGCGCCCTGAGCCCCCAGTCTCAGTCCCAGTCCCAGTCCCATCTGCAGCACCCACAAATCTCGGCTATAATAACAACAATAACCAACAGCGAAGGGCTGCGAACAAAAAAAAAAAAAATACTCGGCTTAAACACATGCAAATATTATGATAAATAAATTTGTTCACATCATCAACACATTTACTCTGCTGGTAACTTAATTACACATGCAAACAATTGAATCAATAAGGCAACATAAAAGACTTCGCTCCGTTCGGACAGCATCTGCTGCTGATTGGAACTGCTCGGAAGGGCAGGCCCATATGGTACGAGGGCAAATGCAATTCCCTAATAAAACCAGCCGCTGAGCACAAATAATTCGATTTAATCAGCTACATTTTAGGTGAATATGTAATGCAAAATGTGATGTGGTAGAGAAACCAGAAGCCGGAAAAGCACGCATTGATTTAAATTCCGTTTCGATATGTGAGACTGGGACTAGGACGGGCAATGGAATTGGTAATTGGGTCTTATACCTTATAAGCCGAGAGTGAAGGTAAGTGCAGAGGGAAACGGCAACATTTTAATGCCACTCAATGTGGCATGCCAAATGAGCAGCGACTGCAGTGACTGCAACTGCAACTGCGACTGCCAACTGATTTTTGTAATTGCCACTTGTCGTGTCAGGCGACTGTGTGTAAATCAAACGAGTGCCAGTGTCATCTGCATACTCTTTTATTTTTATTTTTATTTTTGTATACATTTACTTGTGCACAGAATTACTCGTATTTGCCACCCACACGCAGGAGCAGTTCAAGTGTTGCATGTTCGATTTTTTCGGGCAGGTGCAATGACGCATAAATTCCAGCCAAGTGGCTCCGTGAATGCCACGCATGGAATGGGATCGGAATGGTACTGGGACTGCCACTGCGACTGTTGCAAGCATGAATGAGTGAAGGCTGCGCTATAAATAAACTCTTTGTGCATACATTAATAAATAAAAGGGTCCCTCCACTAATCACTGCACTGATTTATTTGAATTGGCTACAGAATTTATGACAAGATTCGGCACTGCCACCACTTTCAAATCCATGTCTAATTTTAAATGGAATTATATATCGTTTCCCTGCCCCTTTTGACCGCAAGTCAACTCAAGTGTATCGAAATGATTTTCGGCTGATTTGTCCCACTCTGCTTTCCCATTCGACATGGAGTAGAGTCGCGTCGGGTTGGGTCTTCTCCAAGGGCTGTGACATTTCATTCGCTGCCAATTAGAAGCCAATTTCACGCGTCGCTCTCGCACTCAGAAAGGCCATAAATTAGGGCGTACTCCGACTCCTGGCTGACTGCATCTGACTTAAACGATTAAAGGCATTACGCACACACTTGGCGGTAGAATAGGAACAATACGAGACTAAGAATTAAAAAAATTAATTTGGTTTCGATTGTGTTGAAATTTTATTATCCTAATAGCTGTTTTATTTATTAATTGTACTGTCTGATAAATTTACTAATATTTCTGTTGGGTTTTTCTTGAGCTATTTTTGCTGAAAAATGTAGAGCTCTGATGAGCCGCAAATCAATGAGCTTACATGAAGCTTCATGTCAAAAATGATGCATAATTTATCAACAAGAAATCAAACCCATTGCGCCTGCCGTGATTTGGAGATGCAGCAAAAAAGCCAACATCGAATTAGGCCATCCATCATATTAACTTGAAATTTGTGGCAAAATAGGCGCATACATTTGAACACTTTCTAAGCAGGCTTTGCATGTGCAGGCGGCAGGCGACAGGCCACAGTGACACGCCAATCAATAAGCCCTGTGAGCGCAAAAGTCATCCGAAATAGTTGGCAAATCGCATTGGCCCGGACACATTTCGAGGGCTGTGATGTTTGATTGTCATTCGACTGGATTATTTTTCAATCCATGCAGCCCGCCCTCGACTTTAAATCGAATATGTTGGCCAGCATAATTTCTGATGGGACATTTGAACAGACGAAGCTGGTCGCCTGGTCCTGAGCAGGCGATAAATTTACAGTTTCCAAAACGTAATTAATTACTAATTACCCCCGATTATGATTAATGCGGTCGGCTCGTTGATGTTGGGGCATTTACAAAGCAAACCCAACCAAAGCAAAGTCTTCAACCGACGCTCCAGTCGAGCGGCAGCCACGTGTGACTTTCTTTCGGCCGAGCTGAGCGTGAAACTGCCATGTAATGTAATTATTGCAAAACTATTCATCATGCTGAGGTGCTTCCTTCAGGGCCTTCGGGTGGCAGACACTTAGCTGCGACGCTTTTGTCCCGTCAAACGCGGCGTATGAGCAATGTGGCCCGAAACCACTCCGTCAATTCCACCCCCACACTCACACTTGTACGTTGACTGGCTTGTGGCTACGTGAGAGGTTAACTAATTAGCATGTCAAAGCCATCCATATGCTGCGGCGCCTCGCCGGCCCGGAAACAATTTCAAACTGTTACCCCAAGGCGCAAATCCCGTTTAATTATGCCTATGCCATTCATAATCCTTTTCCATGTTTGCTGCCCCAAAAACACCAGTAACTTTTAAGGGAGACACGCACAGGCCAGGCACACGTAACATCTATCTATTTTGATTAATCCATTGTCAATGGCTCCAACTCGGTGGAAGCAACCAATTTGCTCTCAATGGGCCTCAAGAAAGGGTTTGTCGTTGTTGTCGTCGTTAAATAAAACGACCAGTCACAATATAAAATTTAATTAAATTAGCCCAGGCTTAGACAAGCAGAGGAGCCCATTAAATGTGTGGCAATATGTGTGGAAGATGTGGACAATGAATTTTCACAGCCAACTTAAGGTCCGAGAAAGTCCTCAAGAAGTTACGAGCTCTAAAATGGCCTGTAAATTGAGATTTGCACATCGAATAATTGGACGCGCAAGGGGTTTCTCTGAAAGATATTTTTAATATATATTTAATATACATACATATATTATATTTAATATATATTTATTGTAATATATTTAATTAAAGGGTCGTCATTCATTTTCAGCTGGATCTGCTTTGACTCTCTACGATTTCCTATAATGCTTGGGATTCTTATGCCGATGTCGCAGCTGCAGGCCGTACACGTGATCCTTGTGCTTGACCTTGCCAGTCGGCTTGTGCACCTTCCTGCGAATACAGCGATTGTTTGAGGCGAGCACCTCGTAGGGGCGACATTTTCGTCCGGTCTGAAGGATTCTGCCAGGCAGTATGACATATTTACGCGGACGATTGTGACCAACGACCTTGGGCCGACTAATCAGCGCCCCGGTCAGCACCTTGGGCGTTTCGACCTTCTCCGGGGAGGCCGCGCTGTCGGCAGCGCCCGCCCCACCGCCATCCGTCTTGACCACTTGATCGCCTTGCAGTTTGCTGTGGACAACCTGCGCCCGGAGGTGCTCTTCCTGACGCGGTGCCTGCGTCTGAGCGGTGCACCCCGTAGCCGTCAATATCTCGTCCGCCCTGCAGCTAACTTGTTTCCCAAGCCCAGCGGCCTTCTTGTCATCATCGAGATCCTCGGCGACCCAGGTGCGCTGGAGGACGCGTTCTAGGTAGGTGTCACGATCGACGCAGCCCTTGTTCTCGGTCAGAATTTCGGACTCCTTGCACAGCCCTTGTGCTGTGTGCACAGCACAGCTCAGAGTGAGTAGCAGGCAGCCCAAACGAAGTAGCCTTGACCCCATCTTGTGACTATCCGGTTGAAGAGGACGCCCAAGACTGTGTTCGGTAGGATCGGTACGGATGTTAAATCGACATTATCGGTAATCAGGTCTGACCAACCGATTCGACTTGGCCAGTTGCGTTGCAGTTAATTGAGCCACGCTACGGCTAGTGAGACATCTTCGAGGCATGAGGTATGAGGCGTGGTAAGGGAGCGGAAACTGCTCCAAGGCGAATCCATTTCCATGGAATTGGAATTTTTGCAATTTTCAAGGCGCTGCCGCTGTTGCCGCTGCTGCTGCTGTTGTTATTTCGTTTTGCAATCTCAATTTCCCCCACAATAAAATTAATGTTTTACGTAGCCAATTCCGAATCGTTTATTTCACATAAAAATGCGATAAATAAGCGGAGCATCCTGTGCGACGCCGTCGAAGACGCCAAGGATAAGCCTTTGCTGTTTCTGTTGCTGTTGTTGTTGCTGTTGTTGGTGTGGTTGCTGGGGTGGGTGTGGGTGGGTGTGGTAGTGCACGTTGTGGTGCTGCTCGTTGCGCACCTCCAGCATCGTGTATTTATAGCGCAAACAATGCAAAGGATGTTGTGCAAGGACATACGCGCCGGATTAAAGCGGAGCAAGAGGAACTATGAAAAAGCGGGCTTACGAACAAAAAGCGTGTCTGCTCGCTCTCGCTCTCCCTCTCTCTCTCTCTCTCTGCTTCTCTACGGGTAGCCGTACGGAGACCAGGAGACAAAAGCTGTTTCAGCTCCTACGGCGCTGCTTATGGTGGAGGAGCACGAGCAGGAGGTGATGCTGCACGAGTCACAGGAGAGGAGTGCCACAACAATGGCGGGCCACGTGACGTGACCCCACCGAAATCCTTGCCGCTCGGGCACTCTTTTTGCGGCTGACGGTAAAAATTTCATGTTAATGGCCACACGAAGATTCGCTCTTAACCCTTTTGCCACGGTGGGCGTATCTGTGTATGTGTGTGTGTGTGTGTGAGTGTGCAAGTGTGCGTAACAGGTCATTGTCCTGGCATTTTTGGTCGCACCTTTATGGCGGGGAGAAGGCAGCTTATTTCCTTTTGGACGTCCTCTGCAAATTTCATTTCAAGCGTCGCCTTTGCCCTCTTCCGTGCTCCTGCTCCCCGCTCTGACAGAAGGAAATTGCTTTAATTAAGGATATCTTGCGAAATGTTTGCTCATATTTATAACCCCCCCAATGACAACGCAAGGCAAAAGCAAGGCAAGGCAAGGAAAGGCAAGGCAAGGCAAGGAAAAGCAAAGCAGGTGAAGGCAAGGAAGAAAGGTGAAAAGTAAAAACTAGAAAAAGGTGCGCAATCAAAGGCGGAAAATCGTTAGAGAATAAAATCGAAATAACAAAGCGGCCACAGGAGAGAGATAGCGCAAAAAAAAAAGCAGCCAAAGACAAGGACATAATGCGCTTTGGCTGCTGCTTTTGCTGCTCCGCTGCTGCTTCTGTCACCTAGCCACCACCGAGGACCGTAACCGACCCGACCCCGACCCCGAGCCCGACCAGGCCTGGACTCGCTTTGCTCTCGATTCGGTGTGTTTTTTTTTCGCCGTGTGTCCTGCGGACATTTTCGTTTTGGTTATAGCCCAGCTCGGCCCCTCTTAGCCTTCTGTTTTTCTTCGTTTGGTTCGCTGCGCCGTCGGCTGCTTTGACTATTTGCCATCTTGCCTGCTTCATTTGTTTGTGTTTGCTTGTCAGCGCTTTGGGTATTTTGCCAGGATAATAAGATAAAAGCTTTAGTGCCATTTGGGCCAAGTTAGTTAATTGCGTGAATGGCAGTCGGCAGCCCTATCTCTATCTATCTATTCTCCATTCTGTTCTGTTCTGCTCTGTTCTGTTCTTTTCTGCTGCTTTTATTCCGATTGAATCCTGCAACGGAATTGGGTGATTAGCCCGTGGAGTGCACCAGAGACAGGGCATAATCCCTACTCCATTCTGGCTGCATCCTCAAGTCTCTCATCTTTTATTCAACACGCAACAATGACAAGTAAAATTTCACCAATGGAGCGCATGAAATTCATGCAAAACACTTTGATATTCATATGGTTGCATGTAGATGTAACATACATATGTATGTACACGGTACATCTGTATGTGTGTGGGCACATAGTAGCACATAAATTGTGTTGTGTGTTGTGTGTTTGCCTCTGCTGCCTTTGCCTCGAGTGCCGAGCGAAAAACAACAAATAAACATGCAGGCAGCAGTAACAAACAATGGCAGCAGCAACAACTAGGAATTGCTTTTGCCACACACCGACACGCACTTGCAGTGCCGCCTAAATGTTCATGAGTGCCCCATAAAATATTAAATGTTTATGAATTTCGAAGGGCTCCTTACTTCATTTGCATAATCCTTGTGTTTGTCGCCAGGATGTGGATGTGGATGTGGCCAAGTGTCGCATACGAGCATCGTTTGCCCCCGACTCCTGGCAGGGCATCGGAACGGAGTCATCTCTCTTCAAGAGTTGACTACTTTAAGGCGTTCGTTTGCCATCTAATTGTTGGTTCTGCTCGGGCTCTGTTATCGCTCCTTCTGCATCCCAGCCTCCAGTAGTTTTGCCATCTTCCATCTTCCGTTTCTCCTTTATCTGCACCGCCCCACTCACTGCTCGATGGGAGTTCAATGTGGGCCAGCGCAGCTTCTTGGGGCACGTCCTGGCGCTTTTTATTGCTCCTGGTGCATACTTTATTGCATCCGCTTCCTGTTGCCATCTCGACTGCATAGTACTTGCCGGCTAATTCATGTTAACATTTTTGCCTCTCCTCGCCATTGTTATTGCTTTCGTTTTTGTTGGTTATTGCAACTGCTGCTGTCGCTGCTTCTGCTGCTGTCGCTGCTGCTTCTGCCGCTGTCGCTGCCTCTGCCGCTGCTGCTTCTTCTGCTAGCTGCAAGCTCCAAGCTGATTGCACTTAATTTGCATAGAAATGGTGGCAAAGGGGGGAAAAAAAAGCGTCAACCTTCTTATCGAGCAGAGACTGTTTCCGTGCCTTAATTGCCATTTGGCCGGACTTGGCCGTATTTATGGGGCCAGCTTAGGCCTTGTTGCCAGTGGAATTAATTACCAATACAATTATCACACAGTGGGTCACTCCGCACACTTGCCGCGCTGCCTTGGGCCAGTGGAGCGGCAAGAATTTATGACACAATGGCCCTGCCAAACAAGAAATTAAAAGTTTGCGACCCCCACTTGCGGAACTTTTGCGCTTTTGCACGCATGTGGCGCAGCGCAGTGAAAAATATATTAAACCAACTGCAAATTAGTGCACAATTGCAGTCACACACACGCACATTGCTGGGCATGTGAGTGAGAGGGGAAAAAGTTTTACAAAAAAAGTTTTACAGAATGGTGGGAAGGGAAAGAGAAAAGAAAAGGCTGCAGCATAAATCAAGGCGCCTGCATTGTGGCGGGCGGGCCTGCCTGCCATTAAATTATGTTGCCAATTGGCTAAATATTTCCGCCGGATTGCTGCTCTAATTTCCACAATATTAAATAGAAGTGGCGCCACGCCCGAAAATAAAAGTAACGCCAGACAACAATGCCTAAGTGGAGACATCTCTCTTGTGTCTCTTGTTCGCTCTGCTGCTGTTTTCCTTTTTCATTGTAAAATTGTAAAACAATTGTTATAAATTCTATGCGCTTTTTTGCGCCGCCTTGTTTGGCGCTTGATAAATGCAGACAATTAGCAAAATGGTTGACTGGCGCCAGCTTCTGCTGCTGCTGCTGCTGCCAGACCAGACCCATCCACATCCCCATCCCCATTCCCGGACAGAGGACAGAGAGTCTGCTCTGCATCCGACTACCCTAAAGTTAGTCTACTTTATGCTGTTCGCTATTGCCAACTTTCTGACACGCATCGTACGAGTCGTCGCCGGGGCAGAGCTGCTACTCGTATAATTATTACGTCAGTTTGGTGGAGAATGGCCATGCTCAAGGTGCTCTTCATGATTATTTATGAATTCCTTGTGCCACCTAATGCACTAATTGCCAGTAACACACACGCACACAGATCCTCTCCAGCATTCGTATCGAACTTGGGTTAAGCGTCCCAGCCAGACAATTCTCGACAAATAAATCCCCACATGATGCCATGTGCCAAGGCAGCATTGTTATGGAGCGAGGAGTCCCACTTGGTGCATTGTTATTTCCGTTCCATGCTCGACACAGAGCAGCAACAAGCGGAAATAGCTTAAAGGATATTGCAACTGTATCTGGTATAGAGTGGAGCAGAGCAAAAGCAGAGCAGACACAGCAGCACAGCAGGACCGAATGGAGGCAGGCCGTCGTAAGCGTCGTGTATGCAAAACTATCAATTTTTAGTCAATATGTATGCAAAACCACACACCGAGAGAAGTTTGCCAGATGGAGAGAGACACGACGAAAGTATAATTAGAATTGAAAATGCCAGCAGGAGGGATTGGGTATGCGTGTTCCACACATATCACGAAGCGGCCCTGCGACTACAGAGTCTCTCACTAATTATTGACTTTGCTAATTGCCAATTTATAGGAAACTGTCTTCCACGTCCACAAAAGTTTTGCCCCGAGAGCAATTTCCTTTGGGAATTCCTTGGTTTTCTGCACCACCATGGGAGGAGCTGCAGTTTCCAGGAATTTTCTTTGTCTGTTTACTTTCGATTGCAGCCCGAAAGAATTGGGCAAACTTATCGTCAAACGCTCTTAATATGCGTAAACAGCATTTAAGTCTTTTGACACGGACCGAATGCGGACAAGGACATGGGCACACATACAAACACACACACACACACACACCAGGCATACATGTGCCCGGATATGTCGTCGTGTAACGAAGACAAATAGTCGAAACTTTTTTAGCTGCCTAATTGAGAAGAAAATTGAAAATTTCTTAAATGGAATGCAAAAGTGACGCAATAAATTATCAATTCTGTCCCCTAAGACACTCCCAACTTAACTTCCATCTGCACATACTCGTTTGTATGTATGTACATACATATATGCACATTGCAAAAAGTGAATTGTAGATGGAAAATGCTGCAAAAGTCGCTGAATG